TTCTTCGCCAACAGCGCCAGTGCACAAGCATTCCAATCACCACGTCCCCCACATACCGAGCAAGCAACACAATCGCCAACCAAGCCAGGCCAAAAACAGACCACCCTGAACCCCTGAACCCTATAAAAACCTTAAACCCTAAACTTTAAAACACTAATAATCCCTTCTCTCTCTCTCTCTCTCCCAGGCATTCGATACGTCAAGCCTGATGGAAGGGCTGCAGTAATCCCTTAAGCCTTGAAACCCAAAAATCCGTCAACGCCCTAAACCCTAAGCCCTAAACTTGAACCCTAATCCCTAGTCGCCCGAAACCCCAAACACCCAAAACCCTAAACCCTCAAACCCTAAACCCGAAACGCTCTAAACCCTAAACCCGAGGAACCAGCTCAGAAAGAAAAGCTGAAGGACGCCTGTGTCGGCAGCGGTTGCCTCTTCGGCTGGGCACCTATGCCTCAAGGTAAACTCTGGCACTCCAACTCCTCCGAGGAAAATCCTTGGGAAACCGAGGACCTATGCACGTTGGATGCGCTCCTCAGGGGATCTGGCAGAGACGCTGGGGCGGCGGCTGCTCAGCCAACAATGAGACGGGACCTCAGGCAAGCTGGCTTGGATGGTGTCCCGGGAACGAGGGACCGCGGAGACAAGGCCTGAGGCCGGACCAGAGGCAAGAGGAAGTGGACGTGGAGCGGCCTGGAGCCACACTGGCACCCGGATCACGGGCGCAGGGATCCTAACCCAACTAGCACTAGAACCACTAGGGGGCTGCAGGAGGGATGGGGTTAGAGGCCTGGGGAGCAGGAAGGAGCAACCCTTCCCTGAACAACCACAGGCGCCAAACACCCCGAGACAACCCCCAAACACAAAGCCAAAGCCAGGACCGTAAAGGACCCCTGGCAGTGTGCAGGACAGGCTAACCAGTACAAGTTAGTCTCGCCCCTGTCTGAAGGAACTCCAAAACCCTTGCAACCACAAGGGACATCAGCTTGAGCAGCCAGGATAGCAGCATTCGCTTCTAAGGATCAGGGAACCCCTCAAAAGGACCTCCCCTTACCTCGCGAACTCCAAAGCCCTTGCAACCACAAGGGACATCAGCTTGAGCAGCCAGGATAGCAGCATTCGCTTCTAAGGATCAGGGAACCCCTCAAAAGGACCTCCCCTTACCTCGCGAACTCCAAAACCCTCACAAGGGACATCAGCTTGAGCAGCCAGGATAGCAGCATTCGCTTCTAAGGATCAGGGAACCCCTCAAAAGGACCTCCCCTTACCTCGCGCGGCAACTTGGAACCAAGAAGTACACATTGTTTCTGAGGCGCAGTGAGCTGCAAAAAACTTCTTGATCCATCGTTGTGGTGGAACCCACCCACTGTTCTTCTACAGTCGGGGATTTGTTGACACGGATCTTACTGGTTGTTCGAATAAGGGAATATGGTTTCAAGGGGCTCTATAAGGATTATGCTCCCTCATTCCCTACTAGCAACCAGCAAGGGAGGCTGTCAACTTGATGACAAAACCTGAGAATCCACGAGGATGGGGACGGTTAAAACCACGTGGTGCCCCTTGGCATTCAAATGTCATCAGGGACAGTTTCAGGTAGGGAAGAATCAGCTAGGGAAGTCATGAAAGGCCTACATATGAGGGCTAGGGGATATATAAGGGGCAGGGGCATACAAGGCCTTATGATTCTTCCCTGAAGCTGTCCTGGAGGTCCGCCCCAACACCCTAAACCCTAAACCTAGTCCGACCTAGCCATTGGTTGCGACTCCCTTTGGAGATTGCACCGGGAGAGGCAGGCCGCCAAGGCAGCAAAAAAGCACCAGGCCAACACGGCCCAAAATCTCATTCTAAGGACCACGGCTGCTGCAATGGAGCCTGCAAAACCCATGAGCATAAACGCCTCATAGATCGCCAGAGTCTTCATGAAGTCCATTGGCCTTTTCCAGGGACGGTAAAACCAACCACATAGGAACAGCAAGAACTGAAAGGAAGCGCATGTCCAAGAAAGCGAATAGCTTGCATTTGCCTTGACTGTACTTGGAACCCTTGTAAGCACTTTAATCATTTCAGCTGTAGCTTAGGATTCTTAACGGCCCAAAATTACAAGACAAATCATTTCCAAGTACGGCTAAGATTCGACAAAGAATGCAATCTGGCCTTCAACGGGCACCTGCGTTCTTGTTCAGGCCATTGTTAAAATGCACATGTCTATTCCATACTAGGTTGTTATCTAGATTGAAATGTACTGTAACATACATACATATATATGTATAAATAGCTATATATGTAATCTGTATATATATACACACATATATATATATTGATTGTATATATACAGAAATGTTCTAACTATGACCCAGGCACCCCTGCCATCTGCAGGCTCACCAAACCGTCGATGTTTGCAGCGAGCGCTGGCAAGCAGATGATCAGGAGCCTAGATTTAGGGATTCGGGGTTAGGGTTTAGTGCCCCCCCCAGTAAGCTGTCATAATGGGGGTGCTCTCTTGTTTGTACCTTGTTGAAGGGAACCCCTCAAAAACGGGTACTCCAGCGGGACCCTAGTAGCCACCGACGGGGAATCTTCCATCGGAAAACCTCTCCGGCAAGCTGAGCACGCAGGGGGCCACGCACGTAGGTCTCGAAGGCTTCAGCACTGCCATACCAGGTCCTGACACCAGCTGACAACTTGCAGACTTGGGCAAAATGCCGTTAAGACATTTTTGCTGATGATATAAGCCCTTGCATGACCAAATAGGCCAAAGCCCGAGGAATTCTGGTAGTAGAATGCATATATACATAAATGTATACACACATGTAGAGTCACGCAAGATTATTATGATCAATATGTACACCCTAAACCCTAAACGCCATTTTGACCTTAGACCCCTCAGTTTGCTCTACAATCATGAGTCTGAGTGGTTGTCCCCTTTCTGCCTGATGGCTTTGTGCACGTATGCTCGATCCGATTCTTCGCTGCACTGGCTGTCGCTCAGCTTGTAATTTGCCTCTGCTGTACTTGCAACCCTTGTAACAGTTTAAGTCTTATCTGTTTCCTAGGATTCTTAATAGCAAGAACTTCTTTTCTATCTGTTTCTTAGGACTCTTAATAGTAAAAAATCTACATTTTATCTATTCCCGACAATTCGCAACTGTTGGAAACTGAGAGACTGCAGGCCAGCTGTGCCAAAAATGGCAAACAGAGGTAATGTCCGAGAAACGACGATTAAAACTCAAAGCAGACTCCATCTTTTCTTAGGATTCTTAATAGCAAATTCTAGAAAGATGTTTCCAAGTACCTCGAAGCTGCAAGCTCGATGGACAGGCTGTACCGCTGGTAGACGTTCTTGCGGGCCCGGTGGATCAAGAGGAGCAGCGGAAGTGTGCAAGGGATGTAGACAAAGAACGCTACGAAAGCTGCCGCAGACTGCGGATTCATCACCGACACAATTAACAAGCTCAGGCCACTCACCTTAGCTGTTGTTGGGACCTTCGTTTAAATAAATGTAGCTGTTCCTTAGGATTCTTGGTAGCCACAAACTAAAAATCATTTCCAGGAGCGGCTACGTAACTACAAAGACACCCACGAACAAGCATAGGGCAACGTGCACCATGGCCAGCGGCACAAAGGATATGTGTCCTTGGCCGGACGTGCTGAAGGCGGCAATCTCGAAGATACACCAAAGTCCTCGGTTGCAAATTGAGTTTAGGATTTAGGGTTTAGGGTTTATGGTTTAGGCTTCAGGGTTTATGGTTTTGGGGGGTTTAGGGTTTAAGGAGCAAACTCAATCGAACATATAGAGCCACTCTTGATGATAAAAGTTCTGCATGAGCCTATGTACATACAATACTACCTGAATGCCTAGGGTTTTTGCACAAAAGGTCACACAGGATAAAAATCATCAACACTATTGAAACACATAGTCAAAGCCCGTTACAGGTTGAAAGGTGGGTAGTCTCGCATAGGCCTCACATACCACTCCTGAAAGTAAAGGGGCCTCATTGGAGTCCTTATATGGCTGTACGACAGAAACTGCCCGCCGCCTTCTAACTACCCACCGGTACTGGGTTTCTACATAGAGTTTCTGCAATATGTCAGTGACAATGAGCGCAGCTAGTGCCTAAACAAAGAGGTTTCACAATGCTACAGCGCCAAGAGTCTCGAGAAATACGGTGGGCTCCAAAGGACAACCATCTCCTTCGTCACCTGCAAGAAGCCGCCAATGCCAAAGATACCTTTTTGCATAAGCTCTTTGTCCACTTGATTGATGCTGATCATATCCAGGAAGCATGCTTCCGATCTGGCTGGCATGTAAGGGCTGATCCGTAGCCCGACAATGAGAGCCAGCGAGCTGACTAGCCAAACCCACAAACTTGCAGGCGCCTCAAACTCCACCCCATGCAGGTTGAAGCCTCTATTGAACATCAGTGGAAGAACTCGAAGCCTGCACAGTGCCATTGCTAGGCAGACCCCTAGAAACCACATCAAAACCGCAAAGAGCCAACCATGTCGCACAAGCAAGTACCAGTATTTGTGCGTTGATAAGGTCCGCCACGTGTGTGAGATGAAGATGGCAAAGCCTGTGACCTGCCGCGCTTTGTGCCACAGTTTCTCACGGTAAGCGGGTCGCCAAGCCTTTCTTGATGACTTCCCGAGCCCCAAAAATCTACATTTTTTCGTTTACATAGGAGTACTCTTCGACTATCAAGTATATGAATCCAAAAAGTGTTTCGTTGATATAGGAGTATATAAGCCCAAAGAATGTAAAGTATATCTCCAAAGCCAGCGTCAACGGAACTAGCTACAGCAGAGTCTTCCGTAGGTTTTACCATAGAAATCCCCCCAATTTTCTTTTCGGTTTTTAAGGCCCGAGACAAGCTATTGTAGATTCCACTGCAAACTTTGCCCATGAACTTAGGCATCCAGGTAATTCTTATTAAGTAGGTTGAAAACCCATCATTAATGGAATAAGCCAACTTAGGGAACTTATAGCCTGACTTATAACTCTACTTTTACTAACCCTAAACCCTGAAAACTTTGCCCATGACAGTGAGAAACAAAGGGAGCGGTAGTCCATAGCTTGGAGCCCTGCTGCAGACATTCCCTCAAGGTCATAGCTTTGAGGATGGTTTCATCCGGGGTCGTGTCTGGTTCAGGAACTTCAGGCATTTCTTTAACTGTTCTTGGAGCAACTTTCAAATGTTTCTTAAGAGCTGTTTTTGGAAGCCTTGTAGAAACTCTAATTCTAAGTTGTTTCGGAAGATTCGTAATAGCAAAGTTAAAAAATGTTTCCCAAAATGGCTAAGTTTCAGGTACTCCAACCTCTACCAAGGTGCCACAGGTCGTCGAGATGGCGTTTGTCGAGACTGCGTTCACTGAGATGCAACCTCGCAAGCCACTGCTCTGGTCGTCGTGCAAAGACACAGAAATTGAACCTGTTGGCTCTGCGCCGGCATCCTTGAAGATTTCCTGCCCAGTTGCAGGTTTTCGTAAGTCCTCAGGTTCAAGCTGGACCTGGAGATCGTTCCTTGAACATGACGAGCATTGTACCGAAACCGGCTTGACCTCCACACTATGTTCCAGAGACTGAGCACAATGGTTTCCCATACTTGGAGGTGGATGGTCAGCAAAATCTACCTAGCCGTCTGCTGCAGCCCTACGCACCTTGTCTTGAGGCAGTACGCACATGATGCAGCAGGAGACGTCATGAAAACCTTCAACATTTGCGGCTGCGATATCCATCAAATAGACGAGGTTTCAAAAGATGCGCCTAAACTGTGAATGGAGAACAAGGAGGATAATGACCCAGGGAACCCAATCCCCCTTAAGTCAGGAAAAATACTTCGAACCATATGCATGAAGGTTCAAGGAACTTTGTGAGTGGGTGAGAAGTCAGGGTACAAGAACTTAAGCAGTATCATCGGTTATAGGATTATAGGAATAAACTAGTGAATATTCTAATAAAGCACGCACAGCCTCTGCACAGCACTACTGATACCAGACTACCCTACCACCAAAGCAATCGCCTAGTGCCGCAACTCAAGATGCACAGACGGCTATAAGGCCGCTGTGTTTGCAGTGTTTATTTTTCACAAGAGCACATGTGCCAGGAATTGGCAAAAAGCCAATAAGAATCGTGCTGATTTAGCCGGCCTGCCATGCTATGGTGACATGCCCGCAGAAACAGCTTGGACAGTAAGAGGCGTGCTTTGCCGGACACACCACTCCGCGGCATGTCAGGCCAAGAAGGTCCGCCTCAGAAAGTTGCCGTGCTATTGTCTTGGCCTGGGAAACCAAAGCTTGCACGTCTCTATTCTACGTGGCAGCAGACGAAAAGGACCATAGCCTTGCGAAGTCTTTTTGGCTCTGATTTCAGGATCTTGGTGACCCTCCGTGCTTCTACCTGCTTCGGACTAAGGAGAATTTCAAGACATCTTCTTGACATGCAGACAACACCATACCTTCGCATTCTGACTCTCCTGTCGCAGCCGAGCCAAACAAGCAGACAAAGTCTCGTAGCAAGAAACGAGGCGCAAGCGACGCTCTAGACTCCTGCGGCAACTCCCCCCTCTGAGGGGGGGGGTGGAAAAGAAGAGTGCTTCTGCGTCGGACATCGTCGCAACACTTGGGCCGAAAACTCTCACTACAAAGCGGGCAGCAGCCAGCATCAGGGTGCTTGGCACCAGCTGATGCGCTAGGAGCACAAGTCGTTGCTGTACAGTTACACATTTGTCGGTAGCACGTCTTCTCTGCATGCTTCAAGATGTCTAGAACAGCTCCGGCACCTCTCGCCGGGGACCGCCCAACCAGTCGCAAAAAGTCCGGGTCAGGTCGTGCCTTTCAGGCAACAACTGTGCAAATTCATCTTGCGACAAAGCTTGCTCCAGACTGGAAAGTCCCTCCGGGAACAACGAGGCAAGCTTGCGATGCAACCTTTACTCGGAGGTGGGAAGGCCTGCCTGCGCAAAGGTCTTCCAAACCAAGTCTCTACAGACAAGAGATGTCCATTTTGACAAATTATTTGCTGGCGGTTCTCGCGCTCCAACCATTTTTTTGTATGGTCCAGAAAAGCACCATAAGTCAAAAGGCTGCAGGTAGGACGTCAAGCCGGGGGGGCACCGGCAGCATGAATAACCCCTGCAGGCGTCCGTCTCTTATGACGCCCGGCGAAAGATGGCACGAGGCTGCATCAAAGACATTAATCGGCTGATACTGTGGAAAGCGGCTGCGAACAGCTGACCCAGGAGCTGTAGCAAGCAGACCATACGTCGTGACGAATTCCAGGAGGAATCCTCACGACAAAGAGTCACGGTTGAGGGAACAATGCTTTTGCAATTGTTGCTCCAGAGTTCTGGTGAGACGATGCTTGTTGCATATTAAAATTTGAGGCAAGTGCGTTTGCGCACCGATGCCATTTGAAGCTAGAGCGACGTGGGTGATGCACCCGCGTGCGTCTTGAGGTCTTCCTCTGCCCGGAATTTCCGCTGTATGAGGCCAGGCGCAGCATGGAACGAGTAGGCTAAAGCCGTTTCATCTCATCTATGTCAGTCTATGTTGATGTAGACTGGATGCTTCGCGCTGGAGCGCTCCAGACTCCAGCCAAGCAGCATGGCGCCAGAAGAGCACGGCCTGAAGGCAAACGAGAAATGGCTCACCGAAATTGAACCCAAATTGGGGCCTAAAAACTGGAGCCAGAACGAGGCCTCGTTTTCGGGGTTGGCAGCGCTTCTACAAATTCTGAAAATGAGCTGGAAAAACATCCCCGCATAGAGTCGAATGTGATGCAGCCCGGCCCTCAACCCTAGGGCCCAACTGCTCCCGCGGGTTACGAGGTATCAAAATGCAGATGAATGCAGAACGATCCACCGCAGGCAGCTACCATAAGGGTGCGGCGTTGTGCGTGCACGAAGCCTCGGAACACCGGCACCCGGTCTTTGCACCAATATTTCCCAGTGGCTTGGCTGCTTTCATCTAGCCCAGGCGGAAGGCAAACTACGCCGGAAGCGACTGCTTCAGGCTCGTAAGCCACGAGCAGCCAGGAGCATCGGTAGTTGGTACAGAGGACGCCGTTTGTTTGCGATATTCTTCTGCATTGCTCTGAACTTGGAGCCACGCCAATATCGTTCATATTGCAAACGAAGTTTTTGGTTTTTCGCCTGGCAATCCAACGCTGTGCAGTCTTGTAAATGCGCTGCCGCGAACCAGAGGGATCCTGCAGCGATGCTATGTCTTCCGAGCTTGTTTTGAGGTACAGCTCTTCTACATATCGTTTCGTGTCTTCTGCGTCTGCCTCCTCCATCCTTTCACGTGCAGCCTTGGCGGCCTTTGCGCTGATATACTCAAGAGCCACCGCTGGGTCACCAGTAAGTACATAAATGGCCAAAAAGACAAGCACTTGCCGGGGGTTCAAGCCATGTTGGCTTCCTGCTGCTTCGCTGCTCTTCCCGTCCGCGACAACAAGAAATCTGGCTTCGAAGACATGCAACCTTCCAAAGGAAATCACACCACACAGGGTAGCAACAATGCACAACTGCTGCCTTTGTATGTCGTGACTGTCGTCCTACCACCAAAAAGAAACCTCCTGGTGGATCCGGTGCAGCTCCACTGTGGGATTTGCGGCAGCCATCTTTCAAACGCAAAACCGCCTCTGCTCTGAGAGAGCGGATGTCGAGTAGCCGCTCGTGGCTGCGAAAGACTACATGATGCAGTGAAAGCAATCAGCCACACAGCCTGTCGCTGAACACCGCTGGCTTTAAAATGCTACACATTTTTCGGTAGCACGTCTTCTCTGCATGCTTCAAGATGTTTAGGACAGCTCCGGCACCTCTCGCCGGGGACTGCCCACCCAGTCACAAAAAGTCCGGGTCAGGTCGTGCCATTTAGGCAACAACTGTGCAAATTCATCTTGCGACAAAGCTTGCTCCAGACTGGAAAGTCCCTCCGGGAACAACGAGGCAAGCTTGCGATGCAACCTTTGCTCCCCTGCGCGAAGGCCTTCCAAAAGAGACGATTCGTCCAGTAGATGATTTCAAACCAAGTCTCTACAGACAAGAGATGTCCATTTTGACAAATTCTTTGCTGGCGGTTCTCGCGCTCCAACCGTTATTTGTGTGGTCCAAAGAACGCCTCACGACAAATTGTCACGGTGGAGGGAACAATGCTGTGCACTTGTTGCTCCAGGGTTCTGGTGAGACGATGCTTGCTGCATATTGCCAACAGCAGGATTGAATTCCAGTCCGCGATGGTGAGACAAGAACTGAAGGCGTGCCAGCGCGGGGAAACAAGGGTTTGAATTCACGGGTCCTGGTCTGCGTGGAACCAATGATGACGGCGTCATGATACCTGGCAGCAGCGAGGACCTCGTCGATCTTGGCTAGGCTGGAGAGCCAAACATCCTTCGCATCAGCAAGCACACTGTTGATGAGGTAGGTGTGCCGTCCCTAACCAAAAAATCACTGAAGAGTTGTCCCTGTACCGAAAGTATGTCTGCAAGTAATCGTGAGCTCAAGGTCCTCCCGCAGTAACACAGCTACGCATCTTTTGGGCAGCGAGGCCTGGTAAATGTAAGCTGTTTACGATATTCCACTGAGCTGCACGTTGTCGGTTCTGCATTCCCCATTCAGGGAGATGCGAGTAGCCTCCCACCTCTTGCAAGAAGAGAAGATCATAAGGATCTTCCAATTTTATCGTTTTTCAGCGATGACAAATGTTTGCCATGCAAGTTCCATGTCATCGGAACAAATTCATCGATACGGCATGCACTACCTCTAGTTTCGGCTCGTTTGCAAACCTGTTTCATTCGAACTTGTTCGGGAGACAAGGAGCGGAGTCTTCCTAGCTGGCCCACATCCACCCACGACCCCGGTTTCGTCTCCAGCGATGTTTGTCAACATCATGGCGCCTTGTCCAGGCTTACGATACTGGTGCCAGAACAGAACCTGCTCTCCCCTGATCCACAACCGGCCCCTCCAATCTAAGTCTATGAAGATCTCTGCCAGGTGGCATTTCGCATAGTCCTTCATGCTGAGGTGTAGGTCTTCAGCTTCTTCTTAAGGGCTTCAAGAGTAAGGGCTTGCGCTCTTCGACGTTCAGCAATGTTATTGCTGGTGTAACAAGAAGCCCCACCCTGGCGAATCTGGTCCTGACAAAAAGAATGTGGATGTTACAAACATGATGTGGCCTCTATATGGGCAGAAAGGTCTCTGACTTCTTGCTCAACCTCTCCTCTACGGGCTTCTTCCCAACCTCCAATGACTAGCTGGAAATCGTCAACAGGTGAGCAGCGAGCGACAAATCAGAATATCTTGTGAAATGTGTTCGACCATACAGACCTGGATTCACTGAAGAAACCGCATCACCAACAGTTTGTAACTGCGGTGGTTCACTGGTAGCGCGCTGACGGGCATTACCATCACAAGTATTTGCACGTTGTATAAGTAAGCGAAAACAAGCAGTACACACAGTAAAGCAGCAATTCTGACTACAATGAAAGTAGTGCGTACGATGTATTGCAAATTCTACATCGGCGCCGTGTTCCACATGCTGCACTCATGCGTCGGTCGCAAGCATGTTGGTGCAAATGGGTGGGGAACAAAGCCACATTTGAGTTAGGCTGAGGGTTCGTGCTACTCTCACGGGTGTGCGCGTGCAGCTGTTCTGGGTTGCCTGCAGGATTATGCCCCACTGATGTGTTGGAGCAAGCAACTGGCCCCGGGTCACGGACTTCGGGGCCGAGCACAGGCACAGGAGCCACATTCACATGAGGTATGCCTGCAGCATGTGGAGCGTCAGGTACAATTGGCCGGGAAAGAAGCGGGTTTTGCAATGGAAGATGGCCCAGATGCGAAGGCCAGTTGCCTTGCTCACGAAAGTACGTTACCGCTCGGTCAACTTCGGACGCCAACTGCAAGCCACAATACATCTGCAGGACCAAGTCTTGCAGCAAATTGGGAATGTGCCCACTATGGTCACCACGGTGGGAACCAAACATCGAATTCCTATGCGAGTTCCTGCAGGGTATTGGGTGGTAAGTGCCCGGAGCTGTGCGACAACATTCATGTCAGCCGAGCTACCACCTCCTGAGATTTCAATCAGCTCGGAGTATGCTTGAGTGACTTGCGCGACATCATAAAGTTGTTGTGCTAGATACGAACACAAACTTGCAAACCAAGAGGTTGCCTGACACCATGCTTGCAACGCAGGACCTTGCGGGCAGTACAGGAAGGAGTTGGTGCCCTCTTGGTTGGTCGCGGGGGGTCCTGCTGTGACAAAGTTACTTTGACGCGGCTGCATCTGCACATGCGCAGTTTCAAAGCTGTACTCGCACACGCAGCCGGGAAAGCAAAGCCACGTCCGCGAGTTATGGGCCAAATCAACAACGAGTGTCCGCGGACCATCAACTGGACATGACAAAACGTCAGGGCGATCGGCTGCCGAAGGCAATGCTAAAGGATCATCTTGCGAAAGGGAGCGGCCACACAAATTGCAAAACCACTCACAGTGCCACCCGACTGGGACCCGATGACCCTGGGCATTCACCTGGAAACGTCGTATGTGGGCCCATTCAGACTCACGTGCATGCAGCGGCGCGTCAAACGCGGATAACCGAGCAAAACATAGTACAAGGACGCGTTCTGGTGCAGCTGGCATTCCCGCACAAAAATCCGTCTGTTCCTCGTCATTCACAGGGAACGGCTTCGAAGTGTTTTGGATGGGAAGGCCTGCCATCCTACAGGCGGCTTGCAACCAGCTTCGTCAGCAGAAGGTCCAGGCCAAGGTGCACGACAGTGCAAACACGGCGGCCTATCGGAACGAAGCCGGATTTGCATGGCACATGCCAGGTGCATGTGTGCACCACAGCTACACGGCCACCTCCATGGCACGTCAGTCGGAGGAGCGGTGCAACCTTGTATCACCCAAGCTGACACAATGCACAGAAGGGTTGCTCATGACCGGATAACGATTGTGTGTCCAGGGCTGTGCTCGGTGTACGTTGTGGTACTGTTATCTGCGAGACAGTGCCGACTGGGGATTCAAACACATGGTCCACACATTCTCTGGAAGGTGGCGTCATGAGCAGGCGGTGAGCTCGCGAAGGAGTACAGCTGCGTCTCATGGTATGCACCAGGGTGCAGATTGCCAGATCTCGTCTGCAAGTGGCAAGTGCACTGTATGCAACATACCGGAGCTTTTGCAACTTGGAAGGTGCTAGAAACTCCGAGCAAGGTTCGTGCTTGTGTCTGGCACATTCAAATTACTGCATGCTGACTTGCCGGAGATAGCTCCGGCTCAAGCCATTTTGGCTAAAGTTTCGGCTGCGGGCACCCTGACGTAGCCCCCGGGAGCTGGAGAACTGTCCTCTGGTCGATGACTGATGAGTGATGCCCCACCCAGGCACTGAGGAACGGGGAGTGCACGTGCTGCTGCAAAGATTGCGCATGAAGATGAACGAGCTAAGCAGGAGGCCCCCCGAGATGCTTCGGTCGCAGCAGAAGCACTCCGAGCAGCTAGAGAGGGGACCATAGCAGTTCCACCCCTGAACCCTTATCAGACTCAGGGACTAGGACTGCACTGCCACGATCCACCGAGGCGCCCTAGCTTCAGCTACCACCCCCCAACAGCCAGGCCCTGAGATCTTCCACACTCATATGCTTGAAACAAAGCCGAACCCTGAAACCTAAACGGAGTAAAGCGCTCCCAAACCCTAAAAGAAATAATTAAAAGGTAAGCTTGAAAGAAAGCCGAAACCCTAAAAGGAGTAAACCCAGGCCGTAAACGGACCAAAAAAGAGTGTTCCCAGACCGAAACCCTCATGAAAGAAAACAAAAGTAAACTCAGACCGAAACCTTAATGAAAGAAACAGAAGTAAACCCAGGCCGAAGCCTTTAAAACAACAACCCAGTGAAAAACTATTTTACCCAAAGCGGCAAACAGGAATCTTGAGCACATATTTACGGATGGGTACTTTTGCACCCCTTCTGGTGCGCAGAGCGTTACACTCTAAGCACCACACAAAGCGAGGTGAAACATTGGGCTCTGTAAACTGCATCGCCTAAAAGGTAGTGGAGCCTGGCCAGGGATCAGTACAGCAATTCTTTGTGACCGACATCTTTGGTCGAAGTGAGCCGATATCCGAGCACCTTGAGGTGTTTGCGCAAAGTCGGTCCGCCGACACTCTTAGTGAGAATGTCGCTCGTATTGCACTCACCGGGGACCTTGTGGATCCGCAGATGATCGTTTGCAACTCGCTCCTGCAACCATAAATACTTGGTTTGTACATGCCGTGCCTTGCCTAGGCCAATTCGGCTTCCTTGGCCTTTTGCGGCATTGGAATCCGTTTCCAAGGTCACGCCTAGCTCGCAGCCCCAGTCTGTCAGAAGGGACTGTATCCCTAAACCTGTCGAGCCTGCCTTGACCAAGGCGTAGTATTCGGATTCCCCTGTCGACAGAGCGATGGTGGATTGTACATTGCTCGCGTGCTTTATCGGATGTCTTCCGTAGAAAGCTATCATGCCTGTTGTGCTGCGCCGCGTAACGGCGTCGCCAGCATGATCTGCATCCACTTGGACTCTGAGCTTGTCGGGTTCCTTCTGTGCTTCGTAGACAAGTTTCGCGTATGGGTATTGCTTCAAGTAGCGACCCAAACGCTTCAGATTCGCCCCAGTCTGCCTCTGTAGGCATCACCATCTTTCTTGACAGTGTCTTGACTGCGTGCCCTAGGTCGGCACGGTCTTGGGACAAGTACGCAGCTCGCATAACCAACGAGCGGTACTTCTTCACCATGTCCGGCGGCAATGCCGCAGCTTTGGCTTCCAGCAACTGCTGGTCTACGGACTTCTTCACGTCTGCCGTTTCCACCCCCTTTCCGTTCTTCAGGCCGAGTTCCTCTATGAGGAGTTCTGCGTGTCTCGAGTCTGCTTCGACTACAGCACAGTGTCTGCCCCCAATTGTCTCTAGCCTGATAACTCTGTTCAAAAAGGAGATCCTTTTGGAGCCTTCGACTTCGATGCCTATCGTTCTCGTTCTCTTGAGCTCATAGGCGTCTCTTAGAGTCCTATCCAACGCTTCCTGCGCTGCGTCGTCTCCTAAGCAAAGAAAGTCGTCTCCATGGACTAGAACCCTTGCGTCAAGCAACGGGTGGAAGAAGACTGCTCCATTGCTTCTTCCGCGTTTCCATCCTGCCTCAGTAAGAATCTGGGTGTAGTGTGTCTGCCATATTGATGGCGCGTCTTGAGTACCGTACATGGACTTGCATAATAGACCACACTCGTCGTCTGATGCTCCCTCTTCTGGGGGCAACTTCACGTAGATGTTGCGCTTAGGACTGCCATAAAAATGGGCTCTCGAAATGTCCCAGCTGCCCAGTCTCAGCAATCTGCCATGCTTGGGCTTGGATCTTCCTTTAGTCACCAGCATAGATGCCAGCAATCTCACAGCTTCCAGTGGCGGCATGGCGCTGAACAGCATAGCTGGGTCTAGCTGGTCTTCTGGCGATTTCCTCGCCTTGATGTCTTTCACTACTAATCTTGATCGCAGATTCGGGTTCTGAGCATCACCTTTCTGGGTGTCTACCCATTTGAGGGGTATGGGCTGTTTCCCAGTTTCCTCCAAGCATTGGCTTAAAGGAACTCGCTTCCAGACTCCTTGTTTGTGTATATAATCCATTTCAAGCGCTCTTGCCTCCTCTACGCCTGCTGGGTCTAGATACCCTCCGTTTACGTCGTCCCAGTACTGATGCCAATCTCCCGCTGGCATAGACGGCTCCTCAGGCACTGGCCCAGCCGCATAGGCATCAACAGAGCTTAAGTGACCGTCCTGGGCCATTTGTTCTTTCAAGCCTTGCAGGACTGCCTTCACGAGTTTAGGCGGGTACACTGCTGCACCTCTTGCTATACCACCTACCAGATGGACATAACGGTGCCACAGACCTCCAGTCTCGTTGCCACACGGCTCTGCCAGACGCTCTGCTAGGACAGCGCTGTTCGTAAGCCAGCCCGTCTCCTTTCTCACATACCCTTTTCCTTGTAGACCCTGGAGTTCTTCCGCTTGCATCTCCCACTTGCACGCGGGGCCCTTTACAAGGTAGACTCCTTCTCTGCTAGACAAGGCCTTCACTTCAGGATCATACCACGAGTCTGCGCTCCAAGGATGCTCATGCAAGAAGTGCCTGCCTGCATCGATCTGCTTGTGGTACATTCGTATACATGCATGCAGGTGGCGCTCGCCCTTCTCCCTTCTCATCCTTCTCACCTCCGGTGTTACTTTGGGCATGTTGATGTCTTGCAGCCTTGAGAATGCCTCGCATGGAGGCCCTCCTGTTAGGAGGTAAGGCTCTTCCGTCTCGATTAGCTTCTCCAGCTCTTCGACGTCTTGTTTCTGAGACAAGTCCCATGCTCCTCCACTAGGCTTGGCTTCGCACAGATCTACCGCGTACCCAGGCAAAAGGCCTAAACGCGGCGCTTCCTTCGAAAAACCTGATGCACTATAAATTCCCGTTACATCTACAGCCGCCATCTCTGTACACAAGGCGGCGATGTTGACAACCTCCAGTTCGGAGACATCAACCTGCTGAGCTCTGTACCTGTTTCGAACCATGCCCTCTACAAGTAGGGCTGTTTCTTTCTTGAGTGAGCTAAGGCTCTGCACGTCCATTGGGTCTACCGCCTTTGGCGGTGGGTCCCGAACCAGGTCTTCGACATCCTCCGCGCTTCGTGGATCCAGTTCCTCCACGGGGCTCTCGGAGGGTCTCTTTAGGCCGCTAGGCTGGCTAGGTTCACTGTGCTCAGGCGGGTGGTCGTCCTCACGGTAGTACGACCTCCGCGCCAGCTCGTCTGTCGAAACTTTCTTCTCGAGCTCCGACGGCCTCTCTTCCGCCAGCCTCTTTTGCGGAGTCTGCTTCCCTACCGGCGGGGTCCCTGAAACAGGGCTACCTCCACCCCTCTTCTTCTTTCTCCTCCCTGCCCCAGGAGTGCCTGGAGCCTCCGGTTCACCTGCCGCTGCCGCTGGTGGAAGCTCCACTGCGGCGTCTCTTGGCTTGGGTCCTTGTGCTCTGAGCTCGTGCGCTTCTATCCTTGCCTTGCCCTTTGGGTCTTGGGCAAGTAGCTCCATCATCCGAGCCCTACAGGCCTCGGTGTGGTTTAGCTGTGTTGACTCACCCAGGAGTACGCAAGTACACCCTGGACACCCTGGAGTGGCCCCGAGTCGCTCAACATCCGCTTTCAGTATGTACAACCTCCGCTGCACCGGTGGTGCAAGAGCGGGTGCCGGGCCTTGCAGTGGAAGCGGTCCTTCTGCATTCAACCGGTGTAGCCCGCCTGCGCGGTGAGCTACACTCCAAGGGTAACCTTTCAAGTCCGTCCAACCTTGAGGTTGCCACCTCTCTTCCAGAGTTAGGCGTCGAACGCCAAGTGCCCTTTTGACGCCTTCAGTCGTGATCACCAATAGCGATCCCGTGCCGCCATGGTGTCCTATATATCTCCCTTCCAGCATCTTCATCTGGAGAGTGCTCTTGTTCGCTCCCTTTGCCCCTGCCTCGCGGTAGTACAAACGCTCGCCGAATTCCAGTGCGGGTCTACGCCACGCCTTTCCTGAGCGTCTCTGCTCAGGGGTCCGGCCGTCTTCGCCTTTCCTATACCGAGACAGTAGGTCGGCCCCATGCCGGGGGAGCCATGCCAAAATTGGGTCATCGTCTTTGAGCGTCAAACCCAACTTCTCCTCGAGTGAACTCTTCAACACCCGCACTTGCCTTTTCACCTCTCTGACGGCTACTTCTGCCAGGCCATTGGCCTGATGATCCTCTTCCGGCGATTCCTGGGCGATAGCTTCAATCCCCTTCAATCCTTCTATGGCCTTAGCCTTCATGGCTTTGATGGATGCTTCGCCATCGGATTTTGCAATGAACCTTTTGTAACCCAAGTGCTTGACAAACCCTTGCCAAAACTTGATTGCGTAAGGATCTGTCCCTTTCGCCTCAACGAAAGTAGCTGCTATCGCTTGGGTCTTTGAATCCTTTCATCACCAGGATTGGTTTAAGCTTCCCGTCATCTTGCCCCATGAAGCAGTAGTCGCATGCAACCACGGGCAGACCATCAGATTCTCTCTCTTCTTGCTCGCGGCTTCGGTGCTGCTGGCCTATGCCCCTCGCTGCCACACAGTGGCGACACCATTCACGATACTGGATGTGTCCCAGCACTTCGTGTTCCGCGATCTCTGCAGCTGTTGGTTCCTTTGGAGATCGTATCTGTCTAGGAACTGCAACCTCCACATCAACAGCCTCTGGAGGCACATCGCCTTCCACCCCTTCGCGGGGTCCATCTTGTTGTCGTGCTTCACCAACCTCGCCGGCACACAACGAGTACCGGTCGCATCGAGTCCCCGCGGGACTTACACCTTCAGCTGCCCGCTGAAACCCGAAGATGGGGACGATTCCAAGTCAACCGAACCCACATCTTCCAAGTAAAAGTTGTAAACACCTCCCTCCTGGTAGAGGGGAATAGCCCCCTTCATGTCGTCGGGGCTTGATCTCTCGATCAGCTGCTGGATTTTCTTCCCAAGGGGGCTTGCCCTCGGCCCAAGGTGTCCGCCATCCTCTTGGATGATGCCCATAAACCCTTGCGTGCAACACTTGTATGCTGATACCAAGGGCTTGTGTACTGGTGCCAATGAACCTGTAACCCCTTCATCCGCACGAACCTTTGCTGTTGATGAGCTCACCACTTGCCGTCTTGAACGTTAGATTCGGTCCGCTAACGGGTTTTGCACGGTTTTCCCAACTCTCTGGGATTGCAGTCCGAGCTGCTCCCGTATCATAGTTGAATTTGAGCCACGTGCCCATGTCAATCGGAACACTATCTACCACACACAACTCTACCGCGCCCAACTCATCCTCCTGCGCGGGCTCCGCGGTCTGTTCATCGAGTGCGGCGGCGCTCTTTCCACCTTTGGGTGTCTTTCCTTTCCCTTTTCCTCTGTCCGTGCTTCCTGCTCCCGCCTTGTTGTGCCAACGATCCGCTGGTCTGTGTCCCACTTTGCCACAAATGTAGCATGTACCCTGGAACTTGGGCTTGTTGTTCTTGTCTTGGCCTCCCTTCTTTGAGCCATCGTTGTTTGAGCCTTTGTTTGAGCCAAAGTTTGAGCCTTTGCTTGAGCCATCTCCCCCTCTACCTTTGCCCTTCTTGCCTTTAGACCCTTTGTCTTTGCCTTTTCCCTTTCCTTTGATAAGGGAACCCAAGGCCCTAACAAGTGAATCGACCTCCATCGGAGATGGGCCTTGTGACGAAGCTGACGGCGTGAGAATCTTACCTGGTTGGTCTACCGCTCCCTTCGTCTTTACCTCTACCAACTGTTGAATCTCTTGCTTCATGGCATCGTATGTTGATAGCCGCTTCTTGTTGAGGATAAGATGCTGCTCGAGATCGGTGGGGACGAGGAGCTCTAGAGCCGTACTTTTCAAATCATCGCTCAACTTCTCTCTGTGCCCCGAATCATTCTCTCGAGCCTCGTACCTCCTTATCAGATCGTCTAGTTGGTCCATCGCCAACCGGACGTTTTCCCAACCCTTAACCCTTACAGGATTGAGGATTGCCCTCAACAAGTTGCGCTTCCGACCTGCCGAAAGGGGATCAAATCTCCGATGCAGGCGTCGCCAAGCTTCGTATCCTCCAGTAGCGTTTACTACAATCCCCTCGGATTCACCCGTGCACAAATGTTGAAGTAAGCGCCAGAGTTGATCACCTTTCTCGGCGATGTCCTCTACACCTGGGGTCTCCGTTGTGGCTTGCTCAACCCCATCGGGGCTCATAGCTGTGAAATGGCCAAACTGGAGATCGACATCACCGTTGCCTACATCTGTCTCTTGCTCAATCACCCATTCCAAAACCTCCTCGAAACTACGCCCGAATACAGAAACAACCATGTTCGTAACAGACCGGCTCCACCGCCTAAACTCATCCTCACTGTTTGTGAACTTTTCGGGTCTTCCAAGGGCTTTGGTATCAAAGAGGATTTTGGGTGTGTTGGTTTTGTCATCTTTCTCCCTGAGTGCCTTCGCCAATTCTGCCACTGAAGCTGCCAATGTGGCGACCCCTGATTGTTGTTGCTCTGTCTGCTGTTGTTGTGCCCTTAGCGTCAACAGTTCTTGCTGCATTGCCGTAATTGTCTGTTGCAACTGCTGAACCTGTTGGGCATCCATCCCTTCAAACTCAAACGATCAATCAAACTCGAAATTGAAACGAAAGTAAGACGCAATTGCGCGCCCTTTTGATGGAGAGGCGGTCCCTTCAGCACTTTGTCCTTCCGCTGTACGCCCCAGCAACTATTGTGCCGGCTGCGCAGGCGCAGAGATGGGTACCACACTGGCCTTTGCCTTTGCCCCAGCCTTCGCACGATCTGCCGCACAACCCTTAAGACCAGGCGGCGAGGAATAAAGAGGCCTAGGAATGGCACCAGTGGCACTCGACGAAGAAGATGATGTTGCAACTGCTTCCCGTTTAGGCGGATTCGTATCCAGCAATGAAGAGCTGTCGCTATCAAAGGCTTCTGATGGTGTAGTAGGTGCACACGGGTCTCTCGGATATACGCTTGGCTCTGGAGTTGCAAAGGCTTCTGGGGGAGTTCCAGGTTGCGCCTTCGGAGGCGTAAGTGGCTGACCACGCGATCGCTTTCTAGGGGGTTCCGCTGGCTCTGATGGCCGCCGCCGATCCTCTGGTTCGCTCAATCTGATAGCCCTGGCCCTGGAGCCTTCAACAACGAAGCGAACAGCCTCCGATGTAGACCTCTTGGGCTCAGGGATTCCGCACACCTCCCCACGTCCGTGCGCGCTAGAGGATCCAGGGAGCTCCAACCGTTCCGCCCACCGTCTACGTGGCGCGCGCCGCTCGAGAGCTTCTGATGAGCGTTTCGAGGAGCCGCCGCCACGGGCTCGCGCTACCATGAAAAACTATTTTACCCAAAGCGGCAAACAGGAATCTTGAGCACATATTTACGAATGGGTACTTTTGCACCCAGACTGAAACCTTAAAATAAGAGGGTCCAATCCCTAAAAGAAGTAAATCCAGGCCGGAACCCTAAATGGAGTAAACCCAGACCGAAATCCCTGAAAGGAGTAAACCCTGGCCGAAGCCTCAAAAGGAGTAAACCCAGACCGAAACCCCAAAATGAGTAAACCCAAACCGAAACCCTAAAATTAAGCAGACCCCGAAACCCTAAAAGGAATAGACCCAGATCGAAACCGCTATGAAAGAAGGCCCAATCCCTGAAAGGAGCAAGCGGACTCCGAAACCCTAAAAGGAGCAGACCCAGACCGATACCGCAATGAAAAAAGGCCCAATCCTTGAAGGGAGTAAACGGACCCCGAAACCTTAAAAGGAGCGACCGAAACTGTAATGAAAGAGGGCCCAAGCCGAAACCCTAAAACCTAACCGCAGTAAGCCGGCCCCGAAACCCTAAAAAAGATGACAGGTAAGCTTGAATGAAAGCCCAAAGCCCAAAAGGACGAAACCCAGGCCGAAGCCCTAAAAGGAGTAAACCCAACCCTAAAAGGAGTACGCCCTGGCCGAAGCCCTACAAGGAGTAAACCCACACCGAAACCCTAAGGAAAGAAGGCCCAAACCCTGAGAGTTTTTTTGCCAGCCGTGAACGGCTGGCAAAAAAGGGCTTTCGCTCGAGACTGTTATCTCGCAAAAAGTAAAACGACACAAGTGACACAGAAAAAAAGACGCAAGTGATGGGGCACCCCTCGTTGGAGGTCAAAGGGAGCTGATGTCGTTGCAGTCACACAAAAGTCATCTTTCGCAGGTTGCTGGGTTCAGGGCATCGATGAAAGACAACAGGACCTTGCTAGGGCACAGGGAGACATGATGACTCGCCTCAACAACATGGACGCGGAGGTTTGGAACCTTAAGTCGAGATCGAGGTCCGTAAGCCCGGCCCCACACCTCCCTCCCCAGACCACAGTCCACGGTCAACCACTTCAAGGAAGAAAAAAACACACTGATAAGTGAAGGATGTTTTGCAGGAATCGGTGTACCACAGGTTCGCGTAGAAGGAACAACAGCACGGGGAGCTTGGCTTCGCATCAATCATCGACACAGCGCGTATGGTCGACGCCCCCAATTGTTGCGCGGAGTTTTATTCCACGCTGCCAATCGCCGACTCACATTTCATGGTGACGCTTCATGCACTACACATCATGTTCTGCCTTGTTTGAATCTTGAACACGTGAACAAATCGAAGACCTGTCGACCTCACATCAGCAAGCCACAGGTCTAGACGTTGTTTCAGAGCCTGATCCAGATTCCGAAAGCTCCCAAATCTCTGAGAATGATGGTAATGCGATTCGAGTTCATGAGCAGGCGGCAGGTGCAAGTCACATGCGGCCCGAGGCAGCCGTAGAACATGCTGCAGCATCACCCCACACATTGGCCGTCCAAGATTTGCAATCCCAGGTGTCGCATTTGAGCACGATGCTCACTAAGTCACTAAGGTAATGCAATTCATTGACGAATACCTTGTAAATCCCAACGCCTTGCCGAACGGTGTTCCGTCGTGCGCGCCTCCCCCGCTGAACCCACCATGTGCTCCTCCGCCACATCGAGTCGTTGTATCGCTGCCACAGCCTCCCGCCCCACCGCGGCCGTCCGACACTAATTGTTCCGTTTGCAGGCTTCCGCCCCCTCCTGCTCCGCCACCCACGGTGTGTCAGCAATCTGCACCGCAAGTGCTACACGGTCCACCCACTTCCAGGTGCCGTTGTCTGTTCGGCGAGGTGCACCACGTCGTTCAGACAGTTTTGTCTAGGGGCTTCTGTTCTAGTTGTGGGAACCCTGCCCCCCGTATTTGCATCAGCAATCGCTGTTGGGCTTGTTGTGCAAGTGTTGGTTGCCCGTGTCATGGCACTTGTACTCCGCGTCTTCCCGCGAGAATTCCTCCACCACCGCCGCCGCCTCCCCCACCGTCCAGGCAGTGTTCGTCGCGTCGCAGACCATCGGCCGAGGTTACACCGCCATCGAGGTCAACGTACTGTGGATGCTTCTCGAGGGAATGGGCATTGACAATAGGCCCCCGCTTCAAACGGGCAGGGCGCTCGGTGGTAGGCGGCCCCGATGTGTCCAACATGTGCCGCCTGGCAGTTTTGAACTGCAATCGGTTGTGGTCTCGTTCAGGTAGGCTTCATGATGCGCTGTACGGTTTCGTTGCGTTTCTTGAGTCGCAAAACTATGCGGCCGCACTCCTGCAAGAGACATGTACTCCTGCTGACCCAGCCTTGCCTGATGATCAACCTTTTGTTTTTGAAGGTTTAGCGGCCACCAGGGCTCGTGATGTGGGGTTTGTGCAGCGGGCTGGACCATCGCAACTTTTGCATGTCATCCCGTCCGTGCCCGACCAGGTAGATATCGCATGGAGGCTGTTACAGTGTCGGGATGGCTCCTTCAGTGTAGCAGTTGCTTCATTCTATGCTCCGCATGTCGGCTGTGCTGAGATTGATCGGTCGCAATTTTGGCAAAGGTTGTTTGTTTCAACCCAGACAATAACGCATGAATTTCCACATGTTCCAATCTTGGTTGCTGGTGATAGTAATGTTTGGTTCCCGGGTTTGGTCAATGCATGCCCGCCTCGGCCTGCTGATAGGCAGAGTGTTGAACTCATCCGGTCCATTTTACAAACTTTCGGACTGATCATCTGTAACCCCACCAACGTGCTCACCCATAGGCGTGGAGCAGCGCTCGACCTTGTTCTTGCTAGTCCGGACCTGGTCCAATCCGTCGAGGTCCACGATGGAGCAACGTGGCGGCATGCCATCTTTCAATTTCTTGACTTGTGCCGAAGTCTCTGCTGCATCCCGTCCGTGTGGAAGCACGGAATTGTTGTTCCGTTGCCTGCAGCTACTGCCTCCGCTGATCGTGATGGTTATCGTCCCATCACTCTGATATGTTGCTTTGCAAAGATCCTGGAGCGGCTTGTTCTGAATAGGATCAAGCCGGATGTGGACCCTATGTTTGATGAAAGCCAAGAGGGATTTCGTTTTGGATCTGATGTGCAAGCATATGGCTTACTTGAAACGCTACATATTCGGCGAAATGCCACCACGTTCTGTGCTTTCCTAGACATACGCAAAGCGTTTGACGTTGCATGGAAAGATGGGGCATTGTTACGCTTACACCGTGCCGGAGTCCAAGATGGGTTATGGCACTTGATTGATGACCTCATTTCCGATCGGACGGCATCAGCGCAGATTCAATCAACTATGTCAGATGATTGGGATGTTGAACATGGTATGGGTCAAGGTGCGGTTCTAAGTGGTTTCTTGTTTAACATCTTGATTCATGGTTTAGCCGCGGCCATTAAACGTGCCTGCCATGATGCGACTTGCACTGCAGATAATGACAGTAACAGTTTTACCGTTCAAGTTTTACTCTATGCCGATGACATGGTAATCTTGAGTAGCTGCCCACATGATCTCCAACGAGCGTTGGATGCAGCAGACGCATGGGCCAAAATCATGGCGTTTCAATTTCGCTGTTGGTGCACAGAAAACCGCCGTCATGCGTTTCGGTCCTGGCCGTCGATGTGATGCCGGGATGCATTTCCACTTGGGTGCCCAAAATGTGCCGTTGGTGCAAACCTACACCTACTTAGGGGTTGCTTTGCGACAAAATTTAGGTTGGAAGAAGCATGTCGATCAGTTATTAGCACGTGGCGACAGCCGATTTGCAGCATGCATTTCCTGGACAGCAACTTCATCGGAAGATCTGCCCGTGTGTTTTACTGAACGCATTTTCCAAAGCTATGTTGCTTCGTCAGCTTGCTTCGGCATAGAATTTATTCATACAGACACGCAGCTCCGACGCATGGATGTCCGCATGTACCAATGGGGCAAACGGCTGCTCATGTGGCCCCGCGGGGCCAATACTGTAGCTGTTCAAAGTGAGTTAGGTTGGTTGGGTGTTCACTGTATACGACTCCTACGGCTTGCCAGTCTTTGGGCTCGTCTTATTCGCTTGTCCGGCAAATGTGTGGCTGGACGAATACCTGATTTTGCGAAGAATGTGCAATCCTCCTTGCCGCAGCAAATGAACCCGTGTGTGTGGGGGTAGCTCATCCAGCCACTTCGGGGATTGGACCGCGTACGGCTTCATCGGTTGTTAAGCGTTGGTTACGGCATGTGAAAACGGTGGTTTGCCAGCATTCGCA